CGCAAATCTCCGGAGGGAGATTGTTCCAGAGGCGAGGAGCCACCGCTGAGAAGGCCCGGTTTCATGTTTTTTCCTTCCGGGCCTCTCTCGGCATCAGGCTCCTCAGCCTCACCTCCTGACTCGTGCGGGTGATCCGGGTAGACCTTGGTGGGAGGAGGCGTTCCGCTAAATATCGAGGTCCTAAACCGTTTAGGGCCTTATAAGTAAGCATTAAAACTTTGAAGATGACACGGAAACAGATGGGCAGCCAATGCAATGTGGCCAGTGTTGGAGAGATGTGTTGGTATTTCCTCACTCCTGTAAGGAGCCTGGCCGCCACATTCTGCACCACCTGAAGTTTCTGTGTCAGCCTCAAAGGCAGCCCCACGTAGAGCGTGTTACAGTGATCTAATCTTGAGATTGTGAGCACATGCACCAAGGTAGTGAGTGCCCCCGTGTCAAGATAGGGTCGCAGCCTGGCAATCCGCCAAAGATGGAAAAATGCGGTGCGGACTACCAACGCCACTTATGTTTCCATGGTGAGCGTCAGGTCCAAATATATGCCCAGGCTGCAGACCCCACTCTTCGCGGCCAAGGTGGCCTCCCCAAACATGAGAGAGTCACCCAAGCCACCTACCACGGGGGCACCCACCCTCAGAACTTCTGAGGTTATTTAATTTTGCATGTGACAGGGCTGGACAACTTTAGACACAGGAATAAAGGCTACCCAGAGAATGTACAAAAATAAATTTAGGTCAATATTTTTGTTGTTATAAATGTCCAGTGACTACAATGCTAAACTTTAGACCCCAACATGAAAGGATGCCAAGACCAAAAATCTTAATTGACATGAAAGGAAACCTGATAGGGTCCTTAGAACTACAGAAAAAGGATTAATGTGGCCACAGGCAGAAAAGCAAGTAAAATTTTGAGAACAGTGGCGTTTTTGAAGTGGAAACTAGCTCTTATCAAGAATTAAGCCTTTTTTCCACCCACAGCAACTTTCTCCAGTCCAACATCCCAAAATACAGCAACACAGTTTTAAACAGGCTTGTAAACAAATTAGAACAAGAATTGCCTCCAGGCATCCAGGCTGAGAAACTTCTGCATGGGAAAGCAAAGTGACTGTTTCGCAGGAAAGATCTTTATGTGTAGACAGGTGGACAAGTAATTTGTTTACAGGCTAGTAAATTTCACAAAGTTATTTGCAAAACTAGTTTCAATTTTTAAAGGAGAGAAGCCCTCACCAGCATCTGTCTCATTTGCCACAGAAATTGTCACAGAATATGCTCAGCAAGAGACTGGGCCGGTATCAAGTGCAGGTCAGTATTGTGACTGTGAGGGCCAGAATACATGGTCGTAGCAGCCACAGTGGACCGTCTTTTGGCTGACTTGTGATGTTTCGTCGGGCAACTAGGTTCTATCGTTTTCGCGATGGTCCTGCCTGAGACGTCAGCCCTGCCTGAGGCATCGGCTCCTCTCGACGATGGGAATGGCTAGGAAAAGGCGGCCTCATGGGAGCATACAATGATGGAGGGGGGTATGCCGGTCCCCAAGGGTCATCATGACAACCACATGAGTGATGTTGATAAGCGTGGAAAGGCTCCTGATAGTAATACCCATGGTATGGGTATAATCAGTATGATAGTAATGCTCTTCATATCAATGGTGTTGGTATGGAGAGGCATGTCTACATTTCTCCTTCCTCTTCCTAGGAGAGTGATCAGGAGATTCTGATCCAGACTCTGTACTGACAATTGCCCGCTCTGGTATCTGAGGGCTATAGGGGGCTATGGCTGGCCTGGATGGTGCATCAGCCTCCAAATGGCCTGAGTCTGGAGATAGGCTCAGAGTAGTAAGGGGTGCCTGTGCTGAGGAGATGATGCACTCCTCTCTATCCGAGAAGATAAGTGCTTCCCTCGACGACTCCTCCAATACAGGTGGGAGTATTGGAACAGGCGGAGCGGTCATAGCTGCAGATTTATCAGCTTTCTTCTGCTTTTTAGACTTGTCCTTGTCCTTTTTCTTTTTAGGTGGATGATCCTACCGAGGCCAAACCCGAGGGGGAGCTGCAGCTGACTTTGTGGATTTTTGTGAGTCTTTAGATTTGGTAAGTATGAAAGTAGCACTTGACAAAGATTGAGTAGTCGGGCTAGGCATGGCTCGTGGCGTCTCCTTTGGAGGGCTAGGAGGAGGGTGTGTCCCCACTTCCATAGCTGGAAGTTTTCGTATAGAAAAGACCAGAGATGTTGCAGCCTCAATTTAAGAGCCTGCTTGGAAAGGTTTTTGCACACGGCACACGATTGTGTCTGATGAGATTCCCCCAAGCAAAAAAGGCACTTGTTGTGTCCGTCGGTCAAGGGGATCTTGCCGAGACAAAGGGAGCACCTCTTGAAACCCTGAGGGGCCATAAAACGGAGGGGAGGGAGATCCCAGGGAAAGGGGGAAAGGGTGGGGAAAACACAGGAAGAACCATTGAATGGAGTAACAACAAAAAGGGGGGTTCTAACCGCTGAGTAAAGAAATAAAAAAATAAAAATACAGATCACAATGAAATAGAAACAAAGAGAGGCTTTCTAACTTTCCTGAACGGAGCTCTAGTGTTCCTATGTCCCACCCGAATGGTGGAAAAAAAGGAACTGAGAGAAAGGTTGAGGAGGAGATTGCTCCGCGGGGGTGTGTGAATTAATTGCTATCTCTAGAAACTTCTGATCGTCCTGTGCAGGCACAGAAGAAACCCAATTTGTGTGCTTTCACAGAGGCCGTTATGAAGAACTGCATATTGTAGACAGCTGGCTCTACAAGAAACCATATATAAACAAAACACTACCAACAGATCATTCTCTTCAACTCTGAGGGAAGTTTAACTTTTCATTTCAGTCTCACAGAAATAATATCTCTAAAAATAATTACAAACCAAAGTCAGCAGTGTGTAGGCAAGTACATACATAATTCTTTGCAAGACCTTCAGACCAAAGAAATTGCCATGAAGGTGAACAGAATGAAATGCTAGGCGAGACACTTGTCTTTACAGGAGTTTGGAAATGAACGGCACTTCTTTTAGGTGTTCCTCTCAAAAGCAGTCCAGAAGCCAGCCAGTTTTATCATCACACCTTCTGTGTGTTGTACGTAGTGGCTACTTTACAAAGACCTGTACCAACACTGTTTCCTAACACCAGTATGTAAGGGCTTGCTCTGCTTAAACAGTGTTCAGTTGCAGATTAAGAGGCAGCATAAGTATGCCTCTGGATACAAATTGCTGGGCAGCTGCCTGCTCCTATGGTCGTGTCCTCCCTGTGGGCTCCCCAGGGGCATCTGCTGGCTGCTACATGGCCACAGAGCTGGAGTAGATAGGATCCTGGTTCAACTCCGCAGGGCTTTTCTCATAACCTGATGCTCTGTGACAGGGTGGTCTGAACCAAGAGTATATGTGTGTGTAAGAGGGAACTCTACAAGAAACAGAAACATACAAAACACCATTTAATGTCTC